CCCTCCTGGGACAGGACTCCAGAGCAAGGCTGTCTTCACCTCCCGCTATGCCTTTCCGCCAGCCCCTCTGAAGCCGGACCCCTCTGCAGAAAGAATCCCCTGGCATAACGTGAGCACAGGAAGAGCTGGGAAGATGCACACAATCAATCAATGCCCCCTGTGGCATCGGGCGGCCTCGAGACAGCCTGGGCTCATTATGCTGTCTTGGGCTTCGAGCCCTGGTCTCAGCAGTGACTGAAGTCAGCCCTCGGTGCAGATGCCACTTCTGGGGCCTGGAAAGGGGCACTGTGGTTGAGCGTGCAATCTCACCGAAAGGCCACCCTTTGCAGTGATTTTCTCTTTGACCAGGGGTCACAGCAAGGCCCTTGAGACAGCAGTGTCTCTCAGCAGACAGACCAGGACACTGCCAGTTACTGGGCCGGGAAGGCCAGTCCCCGAGGGTCCTGGGCTGATGTGAGAAAGCAGCAAGAAGCAGGGCCTTTCCCTTGGGCTGTGAGGCTTGACCCCCACAGCACCCGGAGCTGAATACAAGGCTGCAGATGTGGCCTCACTGGAGACCCCAGCCTGCTGCTCCTGATGCGTCCGAAGTCAAATGACCTGTTCTGTCGACCACCTCTCGGCGCTGATGGACGTGGAGCGGCCCGTCCCATCACTCCCTGGGTGGGAGGAGCATCGTGGAGGGCTCTTAATCCCAAGCACTGCTATTTCATTTAACTATTAGATTTGGTTATTAGATTTCCTCTCATTAGGTTGCCTCTGCCTGTCAAGAGCTTTTTGAATTCTAATGTGTTCTCATATGTTCAGTTCCCTTTGTCCGCCAATCGGACAAGCGGTCTTGCCTTCGCCCAGTCATTAAGGAAGATGTGGGCTGGGCCTCAGGCTGTGCCCTGCCAATTCCCTCCAAGGGAAGGTCAGTCCAGCCAAACAGCTAGTTACAAGTTCTCCTACTCACCCAGCTCCTTATGTACGCAGGAGACTTCGACAAATGTGTGCAACGCATACACTTGCCTCATCAACCCGTCAAGCAATCAAGACGAGGAAATGAGTTTCGTCTGTACACTTATTCCTGCTAAACCCAGCCTGGGTCCCGATGCTCAAGTTAATGTGCGAATTTCCGGAGGAGCAACTCGCACACGCGCCCCAGGAGAAGAGGGAAGTGGAGAAGAGCTAAATGAAGGCCAGGCCCATGGTGGGGAAAGGCAATGTTCGCCATGGGGAAGACAGCAACAGAAAATGCTGCTGAGAGGGGGGGGGAATCTACGGAGAACCAGCCGGAGAGCCGATCAATTATAAAGTCGAGAGGACACAGAGATTTGAGAAGCCACCCAAAAGGTCACATGAATGTTTATTACATAGAAAAGGGGGAAAGGAAGAAAAGGTTTCCAAAACCGTATTTCCAGGATTAAAAAAAAAAAAACACAAACTTGGAATGCCAGAAATGCCATGCTTTATAGATTTATAATAGGAATGCATGTGTGGATAGAAATATGTACATGGAGGTATGTACAAGGGCTTTTGTTGTACATGGTGTTTCTTTATTACACGTACAGTAACAGTGCTTGGATTATGGATTTCAAAGCTGGCAGAACGTGGAAGAACCTGGAACCCTGCTGAGCGCCCAGGGGGCACCGTGGTAGCAGCAGTGCGTCAGCCGGGGCTGGGTCCCGAGGACTCTGGGACAGCTAAGCTTGGGCAGGCGGGGGCCAGGCTGCAAGGTTTGGACCAGGGCAAGTCTGAAAGCTTCCCTAGGCCCCTGATACGAGAGGTTTCTTCCTCTCCTGGAACCAAACAGGCCCCTGTCATTAGAATGGGCCAGAAAAGCCGCCGGGCTGGGTTGGATCCCAAGGAGAGCTGGTGGTGGGGCGGGTCAGCTCCCAGGGGGTCTGGGTGGAACTGAGCCTAGGAAGCCGTGGGCGATCAGACCACACAGTCTTGTCAGAGAACATTGGAAGTATACAGTGATCCACATAATGGCAAAAACTGAGACCCAAACAAAGCCGGTCACAGTGTCAGAACACTGCAAGTCACGACATCCGTGTTGTGCACAGAACCAGTCTTGTTTTTATGTATGTTGTTTAAAAAACAAAAAAAACAAACACAGGCACCATGTACAACAGCACGGAACTTAGCCTGTGAATGTGGCCAGCTGAGGGCTCCCACGGGGGGCCTGGGTCCGTCACAGCCAACACGGCCCTCGCCCCCGGAACACGGACCCAGCACCAACCCAGAGAGCACTGTGGACACAAGCCCTTCCCCCTCCTCACCTCTCTGGTTCCTGTACTGGGGCAGGTGGGAGGGGTGTGGGAACAGAAAGGGCCTCGGACGAGAGGCTGGTCTGCAGCTCAGAAAGAGCCCAGAAAAACACCACTGTCCCCCTGTTCTCTGAGCTGACTGACCTCCCACTGAAGGCCAAGCTGGGGTGTGGGGGGTGAGCCCGGCGGGTGGGGCGGGGCCCGGGAAGAAGAGAGCCAAGACGAGGTGTCCTGGAGAGAGGACACTGTGCAAGTCTGGGCCCCTGGGTAGGAGCGACAAATGCAAAAAGGGCCACCAGCCAGAGGCCGGGCTGGAAGAAGACGGCTTCTGGGCGGAGGTGGGGGGCACTTGGGCCCCCTTTGGAGACGTGAAGCCCCAGTCCTGAGCCTCCTGACAGACCCTGTCCACCCCTCACCCGGCACTCAGAGGGGCTGCAGAGTGTGCGTGTGTGCATGTGTGCAAATGTCTGTCTTTGTTTCTGCCCATTTAAAGGTGACAGTGCAGTGGAGGCCACAGTGGAGTGCAGACCAGCTGGTGGCTGGCATTTTCCCAAATCCAGGCGGGGGAGGGGGGCGCTGGGGACAGAGAGTCCCAGCAAAACCAAAGAGAGAGACAACTGGTCCCGGGAACTCGGAAAAAAACAAGTGGGACCCGAGTAGAACAGGGTCGGGAGGGGCGAGCGGAACTGGGGGTTGATGTTTCCGTCGCTAGAAGGAGTCCTGGCCGCAGGGCTGCCAGCCTGAGTCCACGAGGCCTGCACAGGAGAGAACAGCGGCTCCCTGTCCCTGTCCCTCCACTGGATGGGCCCCTCCCAGTGCCCCCCCCACACTCCTATAGAAATGGGGAAAATAACGGCTGCCCAGGCCCTTCCTTGTCCCCGAGCCATAGAAGGTTAGGCTGAGGCAGGAAGCAGCGGAAGTGACAAACAGCACTGAGTCTGGAACTCACGTGCAGGTCGTGGGGAGCATTCGGGGTCACTCTGGTTGGGGTCCCCCCGGCTGTCACCAAAAGGGCTCAGCCTATCTCATGGCATTTAGGTGGATTCGGAGCGTGAGCTTCCACACCTCTGGGACCCCTTGAACCTTCTGAAGCTCTGAGAATCTAATGGGAAGAAAACTGACAAAAACACAGGACCCCGAGTGATGCCCACCCGCTCAGGCTGCCTCAGTCTCACTTCCCTGACATCCTGGCCCCTCATCTTTGCAGTCAAGGGTCCAAAGGTCCTTGGGGACAGGGTGTCCCCTCGTCTACCTCTGCTCATCTTGCTGTTCCACCTGGGGAGCCTGGGGACTGGGATGCCGTCCAGGAAAGTGGCATCTTTGATCTGTTGCTCCGCGGCCGTGCCCAGGGTCTGCTTGGCCCACATCGGTGCCCACACCGAGTGCTTGCTCAAGGCCGAAACGCAAGCCGGGAGGTGGCAGGTGTGAGCCAGCGCCGGGGGGCCAGAGCAGAAGGCCCGCTGCTGTTCAGCCTCAGCCCAGGTTCCAGGATGGGGGAAGCACACAGCATACGGTCAGTGTCCTCTTCAAACTGTTCCCCGAGCCCGGAGCACCCCCAGCCCACACAAGGTCATGGTCTCTGGGAGGGTCAGTGCAGCAGGGACACTTCCCACCCAGCCTCTCTGTGGAAGGCCCTCCAAACAGACCCGTGAGAGGGAGGAACAATAACGACAGCAAACGGGGCCTGAAACCACCCACTGGTTCATTCCCATCTAAGTGAAACCCCCCAAGCAGTGTACACAGTGCAGGAGGCTTTCCTTGCCAACATCACTACCAGATAAAAACAACCAGTGTCACTAAAGCCTGAGGTTGCCCAGCAGCTGATGGGGCCCAGGCTCCAGCCCCAGCTTGGGCCCAGGGGCCCCGGAGGAGCTGGGTCCAGGCACAGCCAAGTGACCCTCACAAACCCACCCCGTCTGGGCAGTCACCACAGACCAAATGCTCCACACTGGGCTAAGGCAGCTCCCAGCACTGGGAGGCTGTCCTTGACATTGAGGCTGACACATGGGTCTGGGCCACAGAACAGGGCTTCATGCTCTGTCTCTTCCTAACCTCCCCTCAAGGGCATTCAGGTAAAAGGCCCCAGCGCAGAGCAGGCAGGCAGGCAGGTGGTGAGGGGTTGGGGGGGCAGGACCAGGAGCCTCCCGCTGCCCCACAGGGCCCTGGGCCTTCCAAGCCCGAAGGTCTGGCTCTGAAACAGACGCAGAGCCGAAGCTCCGGTTCCACAGCCTCCACGTCCATGAGACACTCCCAACCCCCAGTGGCTCATTTCTACTCCAGGTTCCACTCTGGCCGCAGGGCAGTGCCACGCCAGTCCTGGGATCACCTCCTCTACTGTGAAGCTCTCTGCACCCCTGGGACCCCCCAACACCAGGGAATGTCCTGTGGGATTCTGACTGATGGAAGGCCAAACGAGAAATGTGCCCTGTGACTTCTGGACCTTCGCCTTCGTGCTAAGCCACTGAGGCAAGCCCAGCTCTGTCCCCAAAGGGCAAGGTGTCAATCAAGCGCTTGCAGGCACAAGACTTCTCCTTTTCAGCTGGCAAAGGTTTCATCAATGAATTCCGGCCGCCTGACAGCCCGAGGGGCCCGCCCAGACCAGACGCTGGGAGTGCACTGACCACCTCGCCTTATCAAACAGAGAGACTATGGGCTGAGGATGTGACCCTCTTTGAGCTGACTCCGCCCACATGCCCTCCGCACAGGCTCCCCGTTCAAGACCGGCGGGTCCTCCTGGTCTCTTCCACCTGGTCTCTTCCACCGGCCGCTGCCTGCAAAGGAGCTTCCTCCTGAGCCTGATGTCTTCCCAAGTTTGGGGACGTCCTTCCAAGTACACTAACCCCCACATTAAGCTGTTCCACACTGGGACTCATGGTGACTCCTGTCACTCAAAAAAAAAAAATCCCACCTCTGTCTGGATTGTGTCACTAAACCTGCGACACAAATCGCTATCTCTTCTGTGCCCTCTCAGCAGCGCCCCCCAGCCACAGCCAGGAGAACAGCACCCTCCCCTCCCACAGTGGGCGCACCCTCCCTCACGGGGAACCTGTCATCAGTCCAGGGGACCACGCGAACTCGGGGAGCTGCTGCGGGGAGGGCCGTGGGGGGGGGGGTGGCTGGGCTTCTGCGCGGTTGTCCCATCAGCTGAGGCTGTTTTATCTGATTCGAGGGGAGGCTCCAAGCTCAGACGCCGCTTCCTCGAGAGCAGCCAGGGGCCTGCCGGCCATCTCCTCAGCCTGGACAAAGGGTCCGGCCCTCCGATCAAACCAAATCTGGCCCCACGCCTTGAAAACGCAGCGGCTTCCAAATATGAAAACAGCAGCAGAGGCCGGGGCAGCGTCAGGAAGAGAGGAGGAGGGAAGAGACACAGACGTGCCAGGGCTTTAGAAAGGGCACCCCAGCCCCTGCAGCCTCGAGGAGATGCTCGTCACAACTAAGGGGTGACAGGCGACTAAGGTCAGGCCAGGAGTGGAGAACCTGCCCCGAATCGGGGTGCAGGGGTGGGCGAGCATCTGGGGGGAATGCCAGGAAGTTGTGCAGGTCACAGGGACCCCCCAGGCCTGCTTCCCTGGTGGGACTGTAATTAGAAAGCCCAGTGCATGGGGCAGGGGGGCTGCTGCCCCAGCTGGGGGTTTAAGAACAAAGACTGTGCAAACAGTGGCCCCCAACGGGGCTCTCAATGGAGCCAGGGGCTCTGAGCAGCATGAAAAAAAAATGGGCAGACACAGACAGGTCCCTTCTCCAGCCCCAGCTGAACCCTGACAGCCTCTGACCCACAGAAACAGCCCCTCAAAGAGAAGCACGCCCCACGGCACAAAGTCCAGTGTGGGGGAAACTTGGCCAGGAGCCCGTCTCCCATATTATCAATTCCTGTGTTAGAGTGAAAATGAAACCAGACTTGGAAACATCTGCCTTGTCGCTATCATTTCGGAGCTTCTCCCTCCTTGTTTCAGATCGACACATGACCTGCAGTCACCTGGACGCCTTGGGCTCATCCCTGCCCCACCGTGGGGTCCGACCGTAGGTGTCCTAAAGGGACCCGCGGCCCCTGTGCAGCGGGCGGCATCCCTGTGTCGCATGTTGGACGGCGGAGCGCTGTTCCAGACTGCGGGCGTTAGGAAACGTGGGGCACATGGCTGCTACTCTCTTTCTCAGACCCAACATCTCTGAACTCAGAGACCCATCCATTCCAAGGACTTCAGAAAACGGACTGTGGGCCGGAAACGGTGTTCAGTGAGCTGTGGAAGGGGGCCAGCTGGGGTCCTCACAGAGCTGGCTTGGCCTTTCTGGGTAAGAAAGAGAATCAAGGAGTTGGCCCCAGGGATGACCGACCGTATCCTCAGGGAAACAAAGGTCAAACACCCCCAGGCCTGGCAGTTTCAGTGACAAGGAGGTGGGGGATGCGATAAGGGAGGGTGGGGCCGGGTCACACCTCTGAGGATCTGTGTCCCCAGCCACCAAAGCGGAGGGCACAGCAGGCCTCGCCACTCTGGGCTGGAGTCTGTCCATTCTCACTGCCACCCTGGAGCTGCCTCCAGGAGACCACTCTGGCAGGGGCTGGGGACCCAGAGGAAGTGTCCACCACAGTCCTGCCCCTTGGTGAGCCCCTGCTCACCTGGACCGGGCTACTGCTACCTGGCCCCACCGCTCAGGTGTTCCCTTGCAGTGGGGGATGCAAGGTGGGGGGGGGGGGGGGAGAGAACAAGAACGTTCCAGCCACTCTATCCCTACTTCCCACTCCCCTGGAGAGGCTCAGGTTGCCTGAGCCCACAGGGCTTCCTGGATGCAGCAGGGGAGGGGCCGGCAGCCCTCAGAGCCTACTGAGAAAAGCAGGTACGTTTCCAAAGTAAATGGTATCTTCAGATCCCTCCCCGTCCACTCCAAACCAGGAAACAGCAGAAGACAACAGGCAAGGTCCTCATGCCCGCCGTTGCCAGATGGGGCCCTCGCGGGGTGACCTGGACTCCTGGAGGCTGGCCGGGATCACAGCTGCTGTGGGATGCCCTGCTCCTTGTAGCCTGTGAGGGAGAAGCAGAGGAGAGATGGTGAGACCCCCACTTTCTTCGGGGTTGCTCCAGGAACCCTGGCGGCCCCCAGACTGGAATCTGCTCAGGAGACCTTACACAGACAGACAGGTGAATGGCTCCTACAGTCTGGGTCCCCCTCTCCCAAGGGCACTGGCTTTCTGATGGGTGGAGAACTGTGGAGCCTGGGGTTACTGGGGATGCAGGAGAGGAGGGTGTGCATGGTGGGGGTTGGAAGGTTATCAACACACCCTGAAGCCACATGCCTGCACGAGAGTGGCCCCACCAGACTGGCCTGCAGTGATTTCCCAATGCAGAGCCTGGGAAGAAGGGGCCAGACAGGCTGCCCGACAGACAGGCTGCCCAAAGGGATGGGCAGCCGGGACATGTGCATGGAGAGGAAGAAGGAGGACAGGAGGAAGGCTGCATATAAAGGGGAATGACCACATGTGTGTTTGTCCAGTCACAGCTGGACGGCAGTGACATAGGCAATGGTGACTGAGGGTTTTGAGCCTTTAAAACATTAGTGATCATTATGAGGCCACTGGGAAAACTGACCACTATTGGTATTAGAGAATTATTGCTAATTTATTTGGGCATGAAAGGGCACTGTGGTTATGTTTTTAAAAAATACCTACGCCCTGGCTGGTGTGGCTCAGTGGATTGAGCACCAGACTGAAAACCAAAGGGTCGGTGGTTCAATTTCCAGTCAGGGCACATGCCTGGGTTGTGGGCCAGGTGCCCAGTAGAGGGCGCTCGAGAGGCAATCACACATTGATGTTTCCCTCTCTCCTTCCCTTCTCCTCTCCCTAAAAATAAATAAATAAAATCTTAAAAAGAAAAGATACCTACTGAAATATACAAAGATAAAATTATGGTCTGGAATTTTGAGTTGTTTTCTCCTACTACCTGGTAACTTAGCCCAAAAAGGAGCTTCAGTGACTTAACTGGGGGTTTTTTTCCTCTTTATTTATCAGATTCTTTATCAATTTTTGGCACCAATAACCCAGTACTAGGGTTCGGGTAAGATGTTGGGGGTACTGGATGAGACCAGAATGACTGAGACTTGACAACTGTTGAACTTGGGCTTTTTAGAGACTCGTTTAGGCTAAGCCCTCTGTGTTTATTTATGTTGAAAAATTTTCCAAAACAAAAAGCTAAAAATAGAAGCCAGTTGACTAACTGAAAGAGGGGGTGGGAACAGCAGAGGGGTGGGGCCGGGCCCCCATCCACAGACTCACCTTGTGAAACTTGGGAACAGCACAGCACACGAGGCAGCGTGTGAGGAAGAGGAGAGAAAGAAAAAGAGACAAGAATCTGAAAACAGAGGACAGAGGGAGTGCCTGAAATATAAAACAGGGAGGATGCCGGGAGTGGTGGGGGGCCCAGGAGGCGGAACAGGGGTGCTTAGGGCTCACAGTGACCACTCGGCCAGCATCGAGTCCCGCAGGTGTGTGCCCACGGCAAAGGCAGGCCCCTCCCCGGGAGTCACTCCCGACGCACACGGTAGCCATGCCTATACCACCTAATGCTTTGGAAAAGGCCCAGGCCCAGGGATGGCAAACAGAATTTGTCTTGCAGGCATCTTGGATCCATTGGCAGGGACTGCCTGAAGCCCTGTCCTGAGACTGTTCGGCAGAAAGTATCACAATTGATTAGTAATGCCTGCCATGTGCCTGGCAGTGGAAAGGTGTTGGAAAACTACCAAGTATTTACTGACCCCTGATCGAAGCAGGCTGTGCACTGTCACTTACTATCTATATAAATAGAGCAGCGTGCTTGCACGTGCCTGATTTTAACTTCTACTTTAATCTCTGTTTCTCTGATTCCCCTCTTGAGATTTTTTCCCCCCAAATTGTGGCTGATACCCTCCACAATGCCATGCTGAAAATCATCCTGTGTGGCTACAGCTGAAAAGTTCCCTTCGTTTTTATAGGACGGGGCCAGAGCGACCAGACAGAGGAGCCCTGTCCAGCCATCATCCAGGAGAGATGAGCTGACTGTGGCGATTCCCTCCAAGGCGGCCGTCCCATGACACACATGCCACTGTCGCTCGGAGCCGTCCATGCCCATGGCACCATCACAAGAGTGGCAAGTATTCATCCTTTGAGCTGGGTTTACTTTTTGGAAGAAGTGCAAACGCTCCTTGGTGCTGAGATGGGTGAGGAAGTCTGGTGGCCGGCGGGTAAGGCGAGTGGGTAGCAGTGAAGGGTGATGGATTTTCAAGTGAGGTCCTCAAGCCCATCCCCCAGACAGTGTCCCAGAGAGTCTGACATAAAGACAGCAGCCCTGGAGCCGGTGTGGGACATCCACAGAGCTGACTCTGACCCACGGGGAAGGCTCTAACTCTGGGACGCTCTGGCCGTCCAGCAGCCCCACCCACTCCCCTACCTGGGACCTTCCTGGCAGGACCGTCTACCAGCTCCACTGACCTCTCAGGCTCTGCCACCTGCAGTTCCTCTGGCTTGTGACTCGATCGGTCACTGACCTAAGGCCTTGCCTGGTCCTGTGTGTCCCCTGATCTTGGGTCCTCACAGGATCATGAACTCAGACTAAATCAGCTACAGATCATCCTAGGTCATTCTAGGGCTCCTGGAACTCCGGGTTTCCCCTCTGGCCTCTGCTGTTCTTACCTGGCACACCAGGTAACCTCTGGCAGTGACGATCGCACCCGGGAAGGTTTTGTCGGGTGTAGGACACCGGGAGGACTAATGTCTGAGGAGATGTGGCCCGTTGGTGAGGCGCCGTGGCCTCGTGGTGTAGACAGAGTGCGTGAGAATTCAGGGGACATGCGTGGGGCACAGGGGACATGTGTGGGGCACAGAGGACATGCGTGGCGCTCAACATAGGCGGTGCCTATTTCAAGCTCTTGCTAGATTATTTTTAAAATGTTAATCAAGTCGTCTTTGGTCAACTTGATTCTGAAAGGTTAAGCCCTTTCACAAAATAGTTCTGTGTCTAGTTCAAGTTTGTGTAAAATGACTGGCAAAGGTCCACGCAACACCAGCTAGGGAGGAAGGCTTTCGCATCCGTGGACTAAGCTTGGTTTGAAAGAAGGAGAAACCACGCTGCTCTGGCTGTAAAAAGACAGTTACGGGGTTTCCTGTGGGCACATATACGAAGCAGCCTTTCCTTTCTGGAAAGCGCATGAGGGAGGGACAGGGAATGGTGGGCACAGGGGCCCCGACCCCCCTGGGCCACGCCCTGCTACCCGGTGTTGTCAGCTGGCCCGTTTCCTCGACAGACGCGATGCCCGAGGTGTCCGAGCTGCCAGGGGCTCCCTCCCTCTCTCACTCACGCTCTCTGGCTCAGTCTCTGCCCCTCTGCACTCAGGAGTCCCAGCAGGCATAGCGACTGGGTGAGCAGGGAAGGTCCCCTCTGCTGGGCAGCCACAGACACGAGTGCGGAGGGCACAGGTGAGCCCTCAGGGAGGGGAGGGGGAGGGGGAGCAGGCCCAGCAGTTCTCCCTGCCAAGCGCCCACGCCCTGCAGGATCACAAACGCCCAGACCATTCTGGTCCCCACTCCTCCTCCAGCTCCACTCCCCTCATCCCAGCCCCAGCCCCACAAGGATGCGTGGCACCAGCGTCTACTCACTGGCAAGGATGACCATGTCCATGCCCCAGAAGATGCTCATGATCCAGCCCACCATGACGATGGCCGTGAGGATCTGGATGAGGGCCGCCGCGATGTTCAGCCAGAAGACGCAGCACACATGCCTGTCCGGGAGGTCGGTGCGGGCCCCACACAGTACGGTGAAGGCCGAGACGAACGTCCCTGTGAGCGGCGGAGGGGACAGCCATGTTAGGGGGATGGGAGCTGCAGCGGGCAGGTAGGCGTCACCCCAGGAGCCCAGGTGTGCACTCTCTGGGAGCCTGGAGAGCAGCAGCCTGTGTCCAGCACCTTCCCACGCAGACCCTGGCCCACCTCTTGTCCCCACACTAGAGAGGCCAGTGAACCAGCTGGAGGAGGCACCTCGGGGCTGCCGAGGTGCCTTTAGGGGAACACAGATGACGTGGCAATGGTTCCTGCCATCAAGGAGCAGGCCAGGGGAGCCTGGGGCGGGAGTGGTGACGTGGGGGAGGGGAGGGCCTCCGTGGAGAGCCTCGAAAGCCTGAGTGAGGGGCTTCCCCACCCTACAGGGAACTGAGCAGGAGGGAAACACAACGGAAGCAGGGTTTAATTAGGAGGAGTTGTCGGCAGGGTGTTGGGTGGGCTGCCAGCGTCTGAGAAAGATGGACTCAGAGAGGGCAGCAGCTGAGAGCTGATGGGGACATGGACCCGGGGCTCCGTAGAAGACTAGGAAGAAACAGGGGACTTGGGGACCATTAGGAAGTGTTCACCACCACCCTGGGCCTCGGCTGGCCCATCACGCACGTGGCCTATGAGATGAACCCGAACTGACTCCGTTAGGAGAGAGAGCCCTGCTGAAGTGGGGAGAGGGTGTGAGATGAACAAGAGCGTGTGGGCGGAATGTTACATAAAACAGCACAGATGCCACTCCGCACACACCCACAGTGTGCTTCCCCGCGCTGGCCCCTCCCTCCCCGCGGCCCCTCCGAGGCCCCCAGCCGTTGGAGGTGGCTGGTAGTAACCCCAGGGTACAGATGGGACAAGCAAAGTGCAGATGGGCTGGATCACTTGCCCACGCAGAGCAGCCCAGATTTAAACCCAGATCCATCGGGTTCAGAAGCCTCAGCTCTTTTCAGTTCTGGATGTTGCACCCTCACGTTAAAAATTTTTAAAGAAGTTGGTATAGGTTCTGGGGGAAACGGTATGGGGGTTCCTCAAAAAATTAAAAATAGACGTACCATGTAATACAGAAATTCCAATTCTGGGTCTGTACCCAAAAGAATTGGAAACAGCCCGGCTGGTGTGACTCAGTGGATCGAGTGCCAGCCTGCAAACCAAATGGTCACCAGTTCAAGTCCCAGTCAGGGCACATGGCTGGGTTGCGGGCCAGGTCCCTAGCGAGGGATGCATGAGAGGCAACCACGCATTGATGTTTCTCTCCCTTTTGTTCTCCTTCCTTTCCCCTCTGTCTAAAAATACATTTTAAAAACTTTTTTTTTTTTTTAACCAAACAACCGCAGTTCGATTCCTAGTCAGGGCACATGCCTGGGTTGCAGGCCGGTTCCCAGCAGGGGACGCACGAGAGGCAACCATATACTGATATTTCTCTCTCTCTCTCTCTCTCTTTCCCTTCCCCTCTAAAGATAAATAAATAAATAATCTAAAAAAAACAAAACTTTTTTTTTAAAAGAGGAAACTCGGTTCCTGAACTCTTAGAGTTAGAAGGTCATCTGGTCCATCCCCTGTCAAAAGACAGACTCTCAGTAGAACTGCCGAACTGATTAGAGGCCAGTGGGCCTGTTCACGCTCTGCCTGCTTGCCACAGAGACAGGAAGGCCCGGGGAACCCGCTTTTCTGTGGACACACAGGGCTGCATGAACAGTGGCGTCAGCAGAGACCTGGGCTCGCCTGCTGGGCCAAGATGGACCGGCCTGTGTGTTAAGTGAGAGGGGACAGCCTCGGCTCCTGGGTGGCGTGGGAGGGCCTTTGGGTCCCTACTCCCTCTTCCACCCGTGTGGACACACTCATGATAACTCTGAGACGTGTGTGAAAATACAAGCACACGGTGCGCACGCTGGCTTGTACGATGTGTACCTATACCACCTTCCGCTGCATTGATTTAGACACATTCAGTAGCGTGAAAGAATTTATTAGTTATCATTAACTTGGATACCTCGTTTCACTCATCAGGAAACGACCGTAATTGGACCCTTTCCCACACAAAGTAACATACGCCACAGAAGGTAGGGATTATGTGCACAGATTTATGAGATAAAAACACCGTTTTAATCAGTGCAGCAGGAATTTTTAGAATGATTGTAGCACATTTTCACGTGCAGGTGTTAATGGTTTTAAATGAGTCTTGCCCAACAGCAAGGTGCTAGTTCTGATTAGTTCCGTGAGAGCCAAGCACCTGCCCACGCTGGGCCTGGGAACACAGATTCCAGACAGGCAGGGGCAGGGGGGCTCCACCCACCCCCGCCCCAGAGCTCCCGTGCTGGAGGGAACATGGGGTTGCAAAGGGGACAATGACAAATTCTGTTTGGTTGTATCAGGAAAGGCTTCACAGAAGAGTGACTGGGGGGAGAGGAATGAAAGGCTAATGGGAAATGACGGGGGGTGGGGGGGGATGGCCCGGAGTCACCCCGGTGTGTACGTCCGTCTGGGAGCTCAGAGGGTGACCAGGGACTAAGTGGCAAAGGGCAGCTGGACACACTGAGGAAAAACAAAGTAGCTCATACTTGGTTTTTAAAATGACAACCCACAAAGTAAAAGAATGAGGCGGAGGTGGGCTGGGGTCAGACTGGAGTGGGACCTACGAGCCAGGCATCCTCTTCCAGGAAACCGCGGGCCACCGGGAAGGGTTTCAACAGGGAATGAGGCAGCCAGGTCTGACTTTTAGAACCAATGCTGTGACCCCCCACCCCCCACCCAGGGGAGGACGGACGGACGGGGTGAGGCAGAGGCTGGGAAAAGAGACAGTGCAGAAATTCCCGTGGGAGGTGACATGGTGGGAAGTGAGTCATGGCTGTGGGGAGGCAGGGGGAGGACCCCACGGAGGAAGAGGAGGTCACGTCCCCACGATCGGCCACCAGCTGTGTGACGGGGAAAGAGGTGACAGGAGCACAGACTGGGTGTGGTTCTTGTGCTCGGTGGTGAGGGTGGAGCCATGAACCAGGTGGAAAACCTGAAGAGGCCTGTCCCTCAGCTGAGGAGAGACAAGCTGGGGACAGGGACTCGGGACAGGTCCACGCCCCAGAAGGGCATGGAACTCAAGGCAAAATCAAGGGAAGACCCCAGGGCACATTGAGATCTTAGGCGAGCAAAGAAAGTGACTACAAAGGGGCAGCGGGGACGAATCAGGGAAGTGAGGGAGGCGTCCAGACACAGGAGAGCCTCGGGGAAGAGAAGGTGGCCGTCAGGGTCACCTGCTGAGAGATGGTGGGGGGCAGGGTGGAATCACAGGTGAGTGGGCGGACTGAGGGGAGGAGGGAAGGGCTGGAGGGAGCCGGATGTCAGAGACTAGAGGAGCGAATGAGGTGTGGACTCCAGGGTGTGGTGAGCATCGCTCTTCCCAGAAGTTCCTGGGGAAACTGAGGCTCGTTTATCCGCTGAGGAGGAGCTGCAGAGAGGGGACCTAAGGACATACGCAGTTAAGGGGTAAGTGGATATCCAGGGTCTTGATAAAATGAGAAGGGGAAGGGTGGGGACGTCTACAGTGGTCTTGCGCACTGGTTTGTGCATCAGAAATCTCAGACTGAGGTTTTTAAAAACTCCACTTCCAGGGCCCCACCTCCAGACCACCAAAAGCCCAGAGACGAGCCCAGGGATCGCTTATTTAGAAATAAAAGAAGCATTGCTGATTCTAATATGCAATCAGGTGAGCGAATCCAGAGAGAGCAGAGAGGTTGGCCTCACGGAGCCAGAGCCAGAAAACCATGCAACCTGTGGGAAACGAGCCCACGATTCGGGCCTTTCACTCCCTCCAACAGCGTCCCTCCCCCACGTGACCCAGTGCTGAGTCGGGCAGCCGATCCTCTGTGGCCCAGGCAGGGGGCCGGGCCCTGAGCACAAAGTTTCCGGGTGCGACAAGGCCCGGCCAACACCGACTGGCACGAAGGAAAGTGCACTGTACCGTCAACCACCAAGGTCAGCGCGTTATGGCACCTAGAACTGAGGCAGGGACGTGTGCTCGGTGTGTCTGGGTCCTCCCACGACCCTCAGGAAGACAGGCCTGAGGAGGAACCCCCCCCCAACCATGGAGATTACAGCAAAGACAGCAGCAGGCTCTGCAACAACCCCAGGCCCCTCTGGCCGCCATCACTGCTGAGGTCCCTGGCTTCCCCAAGGGGCCCAATGCAGGCAGTGGGGACGGGGAAGCCTCTGTCCACTTGTGTCCTGGAAGTTACGAAAGGTCCCTGGGGAGAGCGCCCCCAGCCTGGCTCCTGACCCACATCCTGCTTCTGGCGGGCACTGGGAGAGAAGCAGCCACAGGTGGGCTGGTGCAGCCTCACATCAGAATGGGGGGCAGACAAGCCTGGGGGCTGGTCCTTCAGGGGTCCCACTGGGAGCAGCCTTTGGCACGAGTCACATGGGAGCTGTGGAAGGCAGGGCGTTGGAAAGGGAGCCTCAGGCTTCTCAACTCGCGGGGCGGAGGGCAGAGCTGTCTCCTGAAGCAGCTGCTCTCGATAAAAAGTCCTCCCCTGGGACAGGCCAGTACGTCACGTCAGAGCCAGATGCCACCTGCAGCTGGCTCCGTAGTCATTAAGATGTGTGCTGCGTGTCCGTGGCAGTGACTTACGCCTGGACGCCCTCTGTCACTCCTCCAGGGGCTGCTGGTTGAGCACAGCCTTCTTACCAGCACAGCCTTGAAGGAAGGTGAGCTTCAGAGACAGGGAGGAAACGTAACAGAAGGCTGGGCCAGGACTTCACAGCTGACAGGGAAGGACAAGCCACACCCTACGAAACAGGTCCCATTGCCAGCTGCTGTCTCATTCAGAGCCACGATATGATGTAAGGGAGATCACATTCAGGGTCAGACTCAGCCCAGGAAGCTACAGTTCTCAGACCTTAGAGGGGCACAAAAAGCAGAGGAGATTGTGCTAAAAATGCACCTTGCTAGGTCCCACCACGCCAAGATTCTAATTCAGAGGGTGCATTCATCATCTCTTCATCATTGTGCAATTATTTCGACTGGAAACAGG